CATACCCTTCAGGTTGCCTCATCAGGATTGTTTCATCTAAGTCACCATACAAGAACGCAGTCTTCACATCCATTTGTTCCAGTTCAAGGTCGAACTGAGCCACCATGGCAAGCAACATTCGAATGGATCTGTGCTTCACAACAGGGGAAAATACATCATTGAAGTCGACACCTTCTTTCTGAGTGAAACCCCTTGCGACTAATCTTGCCTTGTACCTCTTCGACATTACTCCTTCAATTCCTTCCTTAACTTTGAAAATCCACTTACAGCTGACTAACCTTGCCCCAACAGGTTTCTTGATTAGTTCCCAAGTGTGATTATCATGAAGAGATTTCATCTCATCATGCATGGCCTTTAGCCATTCAGTCTTCATTCGACTCCTTATAGCTTCCTTATAGTCTCTAGGTTCTTCGTCTAGAACTTCACTTGCAGAGATTAAGGCATAAGCTATAAGATCTGCATATCCAAGTCTCTGAGGTGGTTTTATGACTCTTCTTTGCCTATCTCTCGACAATAGGTAGTCATCAACAGTTTCCTCAACATCATCAGAATCTTCTGTTTCTTCTTCGACTTCATCTGGGATACGCATTTCAGCATCAACATGCTCCACCTCAACAGGAATCTCTACCTGTTCCAGCTCTTCGTCAACATCATCAGTTTTCTTGAAAACCATTTCAGTTTCATTGAAAACTACATCTCGACTGGTGATACACCTCTTGTGTCCTGGCTCTAGGCACCATAGCCTATAAGCTTTTACTCCTTCAGGGTATCCCATAAACATGCATTTCAGAGCTCTAGGTTCGACCTTGTCTTGCCTAATGTGAGCATAGGCTACACAGCCAAATACTCTTAGTTTGTCGAGATCTGGTGGATGTCCCGACCAAACTTCTTCAGGTGTCTTCATATCTAACGCTGTCGAAGGACATCTGTTTATCAGATATGCTGCTGTCGAAACAGCCTCAGCCCAAAACACCTTCTTTAATCCCGCACTAGTCAACATGCATCTAACTCTCTCCAAAATAGTTCGATTAAACCTTTCAGCCAAACCATTTTGTTGTGGAGTACCTGCGGTAGTTCTGTGCCTTGCAATACCAGAGGCAACACAAAAACTGTCGAACGCCTCATTGCAAAACTCAAGGCCATTGTCGGTTCTCAACCTCTTTACCTTTCTGCCAGTTTGATTTTCGACAAGAGTCCTCCAACTTTTGAAATTCTCAAAAGTTTCATCCTTAGTCTTCTGGATGAATACCCATAACTTTCTGGAATAGTCATCTACTATGGATAGAAAATACTTTGCTCCTGAATGTGATGGACACCTTGCAGGCCCCCAAAGATCAGCATGGATGTAATCAAGGGATCCATGTGTTCTTTGTTTGCCTTTGTTTAACTTCATTCTACAGGACTTTCCAAGTCCACAGGGTTCACAAAACTTCAGCTTTTCGACTTTATCTCCACCAAGCAGATTTTGTTTCCCTAATTCGACCAGACCCCTTTCACTGACATGGCCCAATCTCATGTGCCAAATTTCTGTTTTCGACAAAGGTTTCGTGGATGCAACATTTGTCGAACCACTTACAACTTCAGCCTCAAGGGTATACAAGCCTTGTTTCTTCACGCCTCTCAAGACTTCCTTCGACCCTTTCATGACTCTCAGGATACTTTTCTCTCCTTGAAAAACATATCCTTTCTTGTCGAATTCACCAAGAGAAATCAAATTTCTCTTCAAATCAGGTACATACCTGACTTCAGTCAACAATCTTATTGACTCATCATGGAGCTTGAATCTCACAGATCCAACGCCTGCAATCTTGCAAGCTTTGTTGTTTCCCAGCAATACAGATCCACCATCTTGATCACATAATTCCTCGAACAAGTCTTTGTTTGGAGTCATGTGCCAAGTGCATCCAGAATCCATAATCCACTCATTCGACGAGTTGTTGCTTGAAACCACAAGAACATCAGATGATTCGAAATCATCTTGGACAATAGCTGCATTGCCATTATCCTTACCTCCATGATCTTTCAGGCGTTCAGGGCACACCTTTCTTGTGTGACCTACTTTCTTACAGTGATAGCATCTAATACCAGATGCGTCACCACTATAAGACTTCGACTGATTTTTACCTTTCCTCTTGTCGAATTTTCCTTTAACAGCCAAACCTTCACCAACCGTCGAAGGTTTATGCTCCTTACGTTCGTTCAAGTCCTTAGAGTACAAAGCTGATTGAACTTCTTCAAAGGTCAGGGACTCTCTTCCATACAAGAGGGTTTCTTTGAAGTGAGCATGTGATCTGGGCAAAGCGCATAATAATAACAGCGCTTGATCTTCATCATCAATCTTTACATCAATATTTTCAAGATCAAGAATCAGCTTGTTGAACATATCCAACTGCTCAGCCAACACTTTGTCTTCAATCATCTTGAATGAATACAAAGCTTGCTTCAGGTAGAGTCGATTTACCAGAGATTTGGTCATATACAAACTTTCAAGTTTCACCCATAACCCTGATGCCGTCGTCTCCTTTGATACCTGTCGAAGAACCTTATCACCAAGGCTCAACAAAATTGCGCTGTGTGCTTTCTCGATCATGGCCGTCTTCTCTCTTTCTGTTAACGCAGCGTCCATCGCAGTCGCTCCCTTCAACGCTTCCAAACAACCCTGCTGAACCAGTAGGGCTTTCATCTTCAAGCGCCATAGACCGAAATCATTCACTCCGGTGAACTTTTCAATCTCATATTTTGTTGAAGGCATCTTCTCCACGTTCACCGCACCAATTTGTTGTGAATTCAATGCCAATAACAAAATATAGAATAAGGGAGGAGTAACGAACAAGGAAAAAAGAAGAACACAAGAATTGGTTATAACTGCTATTCTTTGCTTTCTCTTCGTAAACAAGATTACAAGTTTACAAGAATAACAAATAACCCTCTCACCCTAAAATAGGATTTGCTGTGTTGGCAATGATGAGAGACTAGTATGCTATTTATAATAAAACCTAACATACTAACTAATGGGCTTTTTCCACAAGGCCCATTATACAAGCTAACTTAACAAACAAGCTAACTTAACAAATTAGGGTTTAAACACTAAAACCTAATTCGACAAGCATCCTTCGACAAATACATGCTAGAACCTTCTTCGACTACAGCAAGTACTTCGACCAACTAGAGTTCGATCCAAAATCCCACATTTAACATACATGCAACATATCTTAATAATAATAACATGAATGTAGTATTATCCGAAATGGGGAAAATACAACTGAAGAACTGTGTCCCCCAAATCCGAATGAACTATTTTCAGTCTCTTTTGATGGGCCTACAGCATATAACTCCACTCAATCTTTCTCTTTCGAGGTTTGCTATGTATGTTACTTTCAACAACACGTCTTCCTAGATCCTTGCCAACCCACCAACCAATGAATAATATATTAGTCATATGATTGGAACCAAAAATGTTTAACACAATAGATTTATGTGATTTGATGTTGCTTTAGTCTATAGTTATTTCATTTTAATATTTTGCTGTGTTATATGTTTAATATATTCAAATTATTCTTGTATGAATACTTTATTAATGCTATAATTTATTGGATTGTTTCTCACTGCATCTTATCTTTTCCATTTTAGGATTTTTAGTAAAATCATTTCAGTATTTCAATATTCATCTTTTCAGTCAAAATTTATAACACGCGACTTCTTGCAAATAAATGAGCTCTCAATTTCATATCATATTTTGTGTTTGAAAAGACATAGTAAAAAATTAAAAATTCATCTTAAAATTTAAAAAACTTCTCAATTTTCGTGTATAGGCAATTTATAGCATGTTTGGACCACACATAATAGGTGTATTGTTTGTTGTTGTGAGCTTTATATATATATATATATATATATATATATATATATATATATATATATATATATATATATATATATATATATATATATATATATATATATATATATATATATATATATATATATATATACTAAAAGGAAAAAACACTATAGTATAAAATCAAATCATTTTTTCTCATCCAAATTTTGTCTTAAAAAAAATTCAAATCACAACAAAGAAAACACATAACTCAAGATATTGTTTTTATTTCTTTAAGAAGTTTTCCTCCTTACTTGTAACTTCCAACTTCAATATATATTTACATTTCACCTCAAATACAAAAATAAATAGAGAAGAAAAGGGTTGTCCACTTTCTAATTTTAAAAATACAATAATATTATTGCTGAAGATTCAATTTCCTCGTCTAACATATCATCCAACGAGAAAAGTGATGTACCTCCTATGACACTATTTTTACCTCATCTTGCAAATAAAGGTAGAACCTCTTTTTTAACTGTGGTAAAATCACTTTTCATAATAGTAATAGGTCATCACTAAAAATATTAGCATTTTAAACATTGATTTGTTTTTAGAAAAAAAATTTAAATGCAAAAATATCACATACTATCCAAAAGTTGAGACTCGATAAACTACATCTAATATGTTCCGCACTCTTAAATATATATCATTAAATAAGAAAAAAAATTAAGGAGCTATATCAATTGCTAAGAGAAAATAAAAGAACTTGTAGCAATTACTTTATTAATTGTTTTCTTCTAAAAAATAAAATATAAAGAAAAAATGAATAAAGTGAATATATATATAAATAACTAAAGTAATGACATTTAAAAATAAATCTATAACAACGAAGAAGTAATCAATTTTAAATTCATTGAAAACAAAGAAAGAACAAATATTTATTTAAATTAGAGGAGAAGTTCCACTAGAAGAAATTCTTTATTTTGCAACACATAAGTTACGACGATTTTATAAAAATCGTCATCTTTCACACATTCTGACAGTTTCGAGATAGTTCTTGTCAACTGTCGTACTAGAATACATAAATTAATAAACGAAAGCTCAATTTATTTGGTCTTTGAAGAGACTAAGGATATGAAAAACAACATAATATCCAAAACAAGAGTTGGATATTTTTTAATAGCTAATCTGAAATCTTGAAGTCATGAATCTCTTTACCCGCAATCTTTTCTTTGTTGAAATCATGACGGGTTCTATTAGAGTAATATTTTCCAAAATTGTATGGTTTGTATTTTGCAGGATCTTTCTCACTCACTAGCTCTTCTGCAGGTTGCACCATAATATCGTGACCTGGAAAAAAGAAGAATGGATACGAATATCTTTCTTTTTGTGAGTTTACTGTAGCCCTGTGTATTGCACTGTCATACTTGTCATTGCTCCAAACCTGCAAAATACCCCACTTTAAGATTGAAACAATTGAATCTATGAAAAAATATTGTTAATTGATTTTTCTTCTAATTTAAAATTTAGGACTTACATAATTATTTTAGTATTAAATTTATAAAAATTGTATTTACCATTTTGACAAAAATAAATTATCAATCAATTTTATGGAATTGAATTAGACAGGAAAAATAATTTGATCTTAAAGTACATCTTAAATGTGCAAATAAAGTAATATATTATTGATGCCGTCAAATAAAATACTGTTAGTTTTTTAACAATAAAAATATATTAGAAAATAAATAGAGAAAAACAATACACAATAAAGGTTGTGAGATCACATAAGATGTGTCATATTGATCACCAAAAAGATAAAATAAAAATACAATAACATGCAACATAAAATAGTTCAATGTCCAATAAAAGAAAAAATCACATAATATGAGAGCGTGACAAAGATGATGATGACATGGTGTGCTACATAACACTTTTGACCATTTTCTATTAATAAATTAACTTAAGATGATTCTAAAAAGAAATTTTCCATGTCATAATCCAATATCAAACATGTTATTATAGGAACAACGCACCTGAAAAACATCACCCACGTTAACAACCAATGCACCAGGAATAGGTTCAATAGGAACCCAACCGCCAACGGAATTGTTCTTAACTTGTAAACCTCCAGTATCATCTTGTGCAACAATAGTCAAGACACAAGGATCCTTGTGAGGACCAATTCCAAGTGCCAAATCAGGAGAAGGGCATGGAGGATAGTAATTGAGTCTCACAAGGCTTAATTGATTCTCGAAGCAGTCAAAGAATTTGTCACCAGGTAAGCCTAAGCTCAATGAAATTAACTCCAACAACTTAAAAGACAGCTTTTCTAGCTTCGCACCATATTCTGCTATTGTTTCCCTAAGAAAAAACACAATGATAGTTTTTATGTTGCAATTAGTTTAGAAATTATGTGAAGTTTCATTTTATGTGATTATTGTCTAATAATTTTTTACAATATAGTATATCATTTTAATAATCGACAGTGATATGACACACTTCATCCGTCTCTATTTCTCCATTAAAACATTTGATAAAAATAGAATACTTAAAATATGGAAAGTATATATATATATATATATATATATATATATATATATATATATATATATATATATATATATATATATATATATATATATATATATATATATATATATATATATATATATATATATATATATATTATATATATATATATATATATATATATATATATATATATATATATATATATATATATATATATATATATATATATATATATATATATATATATATATATATATATATATTCTATAAATCATTTGATAAAAGTAAGAGTACCTAAAATGTGGAAGGGATTGAGGCCAATGATTTTTTAGAGTCCATAGGTCCAAGTCATTTGTATATCATTTTAATAATCGACAGTGATATGACACACTTCATCCGTCTCTATTTCTCCATTAAAACATTTGATAAAAATAGAATACTTAAAATATGGAAAGTATATATATATATATATATATATATATATATATATATATATATATATATATATATATATATATATATATATATATATATATATATATATATATATATATATATATATATATATATATATATATATATATATATATATATATATATATATATATATATATATATATATATATATATATATATATATATATATATATATATATATATATATATATATATATATATATATATATTCTATAAATCATTTGATAAAAGTAAGAGTACCTAAAATGTGGAAGGGATTGAGGCCAATGATTTTTTAGAGTCCATAAATCAGTAGAAGGGTATTGTATTCCTTCATTAATAAGACAATCATAAACTTCTTTCCAATCCCTTGTAAGATTAGTATGCTCAGAATCATGATATCCCGTTGCATTCACTGCATCTCTTCTCAATTTCTTTTTTTCCTCCATACTTAGTTCAAAAAGCTTTTTGGTCTCATTTGCAACCTTATTGATAAGATCAGAGGAAACTCCATGATTGATTATATGAAAAAATCCCCATTCTTCACATGCCTTGCCAATCTCTGAGATGAGGTTTTTTTGGCTCGTTTGTGAGAGGTCGATGATGGGAATTGTATCAACTTTGACAAAGGTAGAGGAGTTGGGACGGTGTTCAGTGGATAGAATGTAAGCTGAATGTATCTCTCCCATGTTTTGAGTGTTTTGCTTTCTTACTTTTTCACGTAGATATGTCATGAACATGATCCTTTCACTTGTTTATATAGAACTATAAGCATACTACATACAATAATTGTGGACGGTTTTCTTCAATAATTATTGGTAGGGAATAGAACATTATTAAAATGAGAGGAATATTAAAAATATTATCTTTATACCATTTCTTCTAACACTCACCCTTCAATAAATATATATATTGAGAGACTCAAATTTTAAAGAAAGTGTTATAAAGAGAATGTTGATAGCAGTCTTTAAAATTTTCATTTTAAAATATTACATCATTTCAAATATTAGTTAAGAAAAAAATTTAAGTTTTTTTTTTTTAATTTAAAAATAAAACATAGCTTAACATGCTTTACTGTGCCTTTATAATAATAATAATTTAGTTTGTAAGGTTATTTTAACATTAATAAAATTATATATAGTTATTAATAAAAATAATTATAAATATAATTAAATTATAATGTGTGTGAAAAATTTTAAATTAAAATTTATTAGCGAAAAATATATTTTTTTGTTTTATAGCATATACTACAAATGAAAATATAATTATGTATTAAGTATACCGGAGAAATATGGTTGGGGATACAGATGTACTATAATCATTATTAATATGGTTGTGGTGGAGATATATTTTAAGACTTCCATTTTTAGATACGTCAAATGTGGGGAGATAATATCTCTAATATGGTTGCAATTTGATTTGCGTATCTATAATTTATTTTCTTTTGTGTGGTTGGTTCATTTATAGAATGTCATTCCTATTGTATTCACATCTCTTTTTAAGCATATTTATTAGATTTTTATGAACACATCTCATCCTTTTCTCTCCAAAGTGGCTCAGATTTTGCCACAACAAATTAAGAAATATGTATTATAGCAATGTTGTTATTTGAATTGTCAATAAATTACATATGGTGGGGGAGACATGTTTATGTTGGCGATTTTGTATCACCAATGTATTTTAGTAGTAATGTGATTTTTAAAGGCCGATGCAATTATGCGTTAAGTTCGGAGACGAGTTAGGGAAGTGCGGAGTGCACGCTCGTCGAGCCAATGCATAATTGAATACGAATAATTGAAACGGGGTTTCAAGGGGCGAAGCCCCTGGCGGGGTGCGGGGCAGCGCCCCGTTGGGGTTCCAAGGGGCGAAGCCCCTGACGGGGTGCGGGGCAGCGTCCCGCGGGGTCCAAGGGGCGGAAGCCCCTGGCTGGGGTCCCGCTGTTCCCCAACGGACATAACTGTTCCCCAACGGACATAACTGTTTCCCAATTGACATATTCGTTTCGAACAAATGTGTCTCTTCGTTTTCAATTACTGTTCTCCTATATAAGGAGTCGTTCGGCCTCGGTCTCGGATACAGGAAAAACGCATCCTTCTCTCTATAATTACAATTCGTTTTCTTTTGTCGGAAACAGAATTTCTTCGAGAATTATCCCCACAAAGATTTCGTGAACTCAGACAAGAATAGGGTCGAAATACTTTGTTCGGAAAGTGTACGAACACGATTCATCGAAGTTATCCAGGATTATCACACCCTAAATTTCTAACAGTTTATGTGAAGAATCGATTTTTCTCAACTCTTTTGTTGTTTCTTATCACAATTATAAAAGTAATATTTTCTTCTAATAATGTGATTGTAGTCAATAAAATTTAAAATTAATATCATTTTTACTTTTTTATTGTAGAAATAATAATAGTTTTTTAATTATCTTTTAATTATTATCTTATGTACAACTTCTATTATATTTATAAAATTAATTTGGTGTCTTATAATAATATTATTATATTCTTTAACTACTGGATATTCGTGCGTTGAAACGGGTATTGGTGTGATCCACACGTTTTTGTCAAAATGTAATATAAATAAAAGACAGAAAGAGAATATTTTTTAAGTAAAAAATTTATTATTTTTAAAAGAGATGATATATTAGTGTCTATAATTTTTTCTGTATATAAAAATATTTGAATAAAACAATAAAAATTTTCCTCTATAAATATTATTTTTGTTTTGTTATTATTTACTAAAATAATTGAATCAATAGTAAATTTATTCTCGTTATTATTTAGTTTTTAATCAATAACTTTAAATTTTTTCATTTCATATGATACTCATATTAGAAGAAAATAAAATGCGTACGTACCACGCCAATATATGTGATATCGCACAATTTCTGTTTGAATTTATATTACACGTCATTATATCTCATTTATCACTTTTAAAGATATGAAAATAATTTTAATTAAGTTCTTGAGTTTGATTTTTGTCAAAATCATTCTTTAAATTCACGTGGATTTTTATTGTATTTTTACTTTGAGACATATCTAGTGAAAATTGGTAAGTTATATGTGAATGTGATAATTAATAACAACCATCAGATTTAAAAACAAATATTGAGATTAAATCATATCTTTCACTAAATCATGTGTCATAAATATAAAAAATCAGAGGCTTTTAATAAGAAAGAGAAATTAATAATAAATTTTAGAAATATATCTTAATTCAATGGCCTAGATGTATTATATATATATAAAAAAAAAAAATATATATATATATATATATATATATATATATATATATATATATATATATATATATATATATATATATATATATATATATATATATATATATATATATATATATATATATATATATATATATATATATATATATATATATATATATATATATATATATATATATATAAAGTTTTACTGTGACTATTTATTAATTTGAAATTTTTAATAAACTATTCAATATTTTAATAGTCATTGTTTAATAATAATATTAATTAAATTATTCATTAATTATTTAATAATGATTAAAATATTAATGAAAATAATTATTTATTAATTGTTGAAATATTTTTAGCTTCTTTACAAAAACGGGAATATTTTTAGCTTCTTTGCAATTGAATAAATGACCTTTTTTGTAGAAGTAAAATTCTATTTAAAAAAGCTTGTAAATATGTAAATTAAATCTAATAACAAAAAATTGCATATTTCCTTATCAAAGACAAACATTAAAAATTAAGTTGAATCTATCAAAATCTAATTACTCTAACATCTAAAAACAGTAGAAACAGTTGAATTTGAATTTTGAAGTAAATAATATTAACCTATCCAAACATGTGTATTAAAAACATCAAAGTGAATCACCACTACCAAAGATTTTTCTTAGTGACAATGATATAAAGTCATCAAATTTATTATTATTAATCAGTATTTTAAAACCCAGTCTGACCCGGTCAGTCGGGCCGGTCTGATCGAGAACCGGTGGGCCAGGCGGTCCGATTAAGGAATAAAACTGGAATTACATCTAGACCGGATGAAATTGGTGTGAACCGGCTGGATCACCGGTTAAATCAGTGAACCAGCGGTTTTTACTGAACCGGCGGGTTTGACTATTTTATTTTTATTTTTTAGGGCTTTTGAAAAAAAAATTAACATAAACGATTTGCCTCCTCGTTTTCCAAACCTAGGCATTTGAAAGGTTTTCTTTTTTATTCTGTCTTTTCTTTTTCTAATTGAAGTCATATTCTCAATTTTCTCTACCAACAAAAACTCTCACTTGCTGCTGTTATTTGATATTCCTTGTTTGCCGTCAAAAATTTTATCAAAACATCAAAAACAGGTTATTTCTTTTTTACTTGGTCTAATTTGCATTGATGTTTTTCAATATGAATATTATTGTTTCATTTTGTTGATTAATTGATATAGAAAATAAATGATTAAATTTGATCATTTTCTATAAAATTGGGTCTTTTAGCTTAACAAATTGAGATAGAATTTGTATGAATGAAGCAGTTTTATACTTTTATGAATTAACATATTATAGACTGGTAATGAAGTTGTTGTATATTGGAGATAGAAATTGGGATAAATATATATTACTGTAATAGTCGTTGTATATATTATGGAGATAGAAATTGGGTTTAAAACTATGTAATCTAAATTATATAGTAAGACAAAGTTTTCTGTTTTTTATTAATTTAAATTATATAACAAAGAAAAGTTTCAGGATTTTATTAATCTAAAATATATAGCAAAGGCTAGAAAGCAAAGTTTCTATTTTTTTATTATATATGGTGATGCACAGTAACGATGCTTGGTAGCCTATATGTAATATACAACAACATATTCATATATTTTGGATTTCGATATGCTACATATTTAATGTTTCTTATAATATTTTTATAAATTCAATAATTTTTGTTTAGAATTGTGTTTTGTTAATATTTTTGTAATATAGTTTTGTATTTTTAAATTTTGATTGATATTAGATATGGCATCACCCGCTGAAGTAATAACTTCGGAAGAAGTTACATCTCAAAATCCAACCCAACTCCAGAGTAGTAGGGGAAAAACTGATATAGCTTGAGGTCATTGTAAACAAATTGAAGAGAAAGGAAAACTTGTTAATTTGTGTATTTACTGTGATAAAATTATTAGAGGAGGGGGGATTAATAGGTTCAAATTTCATTTGGCTGGAATAAAAGGTCAAGTTGAAACATGTAAAAAGGTGCCTCCAGATGTTCAATATCAAATGAAACAAAATCTTGATGAAGGTGCAAATAAGAGAAGAAAGACTCAAGCACAAAATTTTGATGTTGATCTTACTACTCAAGAGGGTGGTGTAGTAGAAATAGATGTAGAACAATCAAGATCAAATTCGGTGATTGAGTCTCAAAAGAGAAAGAATACTAGTCGTATTGGTAATTATTTTATGCCTAGAACAACTCCTGGAGCTCAACCTTGTTTAAAAAGTGTGTTACAAAGTAAGGAATTGGTGGAGAAGTGTGATCTAGCTATTGCAAGATGGTTCATTGATTCTTCTGTGTCATTCAATGCAGCTAATTCTGCGTATTTTCAATCTATGGCTGATGCATTTTGCAGCATGAGTCCGGGGTATAAAGTTCCAACTATGCATAGTCTTCGTGGCTATTTGTTAAATAAATGGGTTGAAGATG